TTTRATTTCCTTATTTATAAATGTCAGCAATTTCCGAAAGGTTTCAATTTCAGAACTTCGAATTTCCCGAAATTTAAACAAGGGATTTTTTTAATTTGYATAGCCACGTCTGACACAGTAAATCGCACACGTATAGAGAGTCAGTTCGGTTCTGAGAAATATTAAGTGGTAAAATTACACCGTGGCACTTTGCAAGCTGATGTTACATGACTTAATCATAATTTTAGATTTCAATTAACRAAACTATTATTATTTTAACAGCTCATTGCAAAAAGGCTTCATGTGGCGAAAAAAAATATAATATGATYCAAAKGTTCAGTTTTGTGCATGGTCTCAATTCCAAGAAATAATTGGCGGCCATTTTGAATTTGTAACAAGGTTCACTCGGCCCCAAATGTAATACGAATTTCACCTCAAAATCTCATAGATAAGTCTTATGAGTACAAAAAAWTAATCCTGTTTGTAAAATTGCCCTCACGTGGAGAAATGAGCAGATTTAATTTAGAAAAATTTACTTTAATAGCAGAAATGACAAGATTAATATCAAGAAACTGTATCTCCACCAGGATCTGAWAAGATTTAATTCTAAATTTGATCGTATATTGTCATTCACTATATAGAAATAGTCCCGGTTTTATGAATTTCCCTTAAAACCAAACCGGAATTGATATKATTGGAATATTATACAAGCAACATGACTGAAATTTAGAGTGATAAAATTGCCGAAAAGTCATTTCTTTGATCAGCTGTCGGCGATTTCTATTGATGTTTTTGTGSGCCCTTTATATTAGAAAAATCTTGTTTTTAATCATAAGCTAAGGCACAGTTCACGAGCAGCTTGATTTAGTATTGAATGATAAGTATAATTTCAGGTGTAGAGTATTTGACGTTTGACTTGAATTGTTATGGAATTACATATAATATGATATCGTCCACGTAGTTACAAACACGACTCCAAAACTCTTGCATGGAGAATAAATAGTTCGCGGCGTATCAAACATGATCAAATTGCACAAGAAAACTTTGTTGACATAAAATTTTATCGAACAGTTGGACTGCTTGGTAAATCATAATAAATAAGTAAATAAAGAAAGTCATTATAAATTATAATGTGCAATCTCTAAATACTTAAGTTCTTTAATTTAAGCCAGATGGTTTAGGGGAAGAAATCTCTAATTTGACCATGAAATTTATTGACATTTATCTGCTTCGAGTTAAAGAGGATTTTGAGAACCGGACGCCAAGCAGTCGAAATACAAACAAAAGGTGTCAAATTTGAACATTTTGCGCCAACAAGAAGTCTCTCTGACATTGTGAAAAGCAAATTTTTATTGGTCAAATATGACGTGGGCTTGTCACTTTTCAAAATTCATTTAACTTGCGCGGTAGGACTCGGTAAATATTCCTCCGACAGTAAGCTGAAAACTCCGACTTAGACAGTTTTGTACTGATAACTCCGTGACAAAAACTGTAAATACTTGTCTGGCTTTTTGGAGCAAGCAATTTGGATGGAACTGATTTGAATTACTTCTTTCTTCAAATATTCTCAAGTAAAAATTTAATGTAAGCTACTGCAACATGCAATAACTTGTGGATTGGTTATGAGAAGAAGATCAGCTGCATTTTTGGACTCAGTACAATCTAGAGAATATCGAATCATCTAGAGGGTACAATAAAAGGAATAAAAAGATCCCCTTCATCTCGACATCACAAGTATTGCTCTTATTTTGAAGGGAGAATTTCGTTTTCTATAGATTTTGTCAGAAGATGTCGGAAGGAGACGCCTCGACAACCAACTCAAGCGCTTTTCAAAATGGAAACAGCTATTGGGAGAGGAAAGCAATGGCTACCGGTGAAATTGTACTTTTAAGCAGTTATTTTGTAGTTACACTAGTTGGCCTTGTTGGAAACTCTTTCGTTATCCACGCAGTGAGAACAAATCGCTCAATGCACACGTCCACAAATTACTTAATATCAAATATTGCGGTCGCAGATCTGACTACGATGGCAACATGCCTTCCGTTTGCCATCTTGAAGTTTTTGAACCACCCTGGAGGGAARTGGGGTCGATTTTTGTGCACTTTTATCACAAAGAATAATATTTCTTGCATAACTCTGTCTGTTTCTATCATGACACTTTGTATCCTCGCMGTGGAGCGTTAYAACGCGTTAATAAATCCTCTCCACCATGAAATGAGGATGACGAAACGAGCTACACTTTACGCCATTGTACTGACATGGATTTTAGCTTTGGCTATGGCTATGCCTCTTCTGATTTTCACTGAYTTCAACGAGAAATATCACTACTGTCAGTTCACCTTCACTACTCACTTGTACTGGATAGCAGTTGGGGTTGCAACATTTCTGATTTTAGTAGTCATTTGCTACTGTTACATCAARATATTGAGGGAAATATACAATAAAAGATTGCTCAACGCTGGCCATTGCGCGCCKCAGTGGCTGAACAACGAGACAACGAAGAATAAAAGAAAAGTAACAAAGCTTTTGTTGAGTTTGACGGTAGCGTTTGTGYTGTTTTTCGTCCCAAGAATGGTCTACCTCTTCTTTTCTCCTTATATGGAAAAGACGATTAACTTAGGAGCCTTCAGAAAAATCTCCTTCTTTTTGGTAGTATGTAATTCGTGCGTGAATCCGATCATTTGCGGTTTTCAGAGTGATAACTATAGGCGCGCTTTTTTGGCTATGCTAAGACGAAGCAGAGGGGTGAGTCCAATATCACGTGATGCTATATCGAACCGTGATTGGTGGAATACCTCTCAAAGGCAGCAACACCAACAATCACAGATGTAATGTGATCTTTGTGGCTTTAAAGTCACTTAGTTTGTGATCGCTAAAATGTGTATAAAGTCAGTCACTTTGTCAGTTTTGTCGATTAGTATACAGGAATCCCATGCAATTCTCAAAAAAGTCGAATTCAACTTAAGATAGACAAAACACCTTGAGGAGTTGAAGTCAATGATGCACTGTACGGCAATTGGCAAAGCATGGAAGTACAAGTAAACGCGACGGAAACATAAGCGATTCTATAAAAAAAAGCCAGCTAAAATCCAATATTACATGTTATGGTTACCACCACTGACTACACTTTACCTTGCGGCGAATTCTCTCTCCTGGGGCCGGTCATTACATTGGAAAAGGGTGGATACCAAATTATTCACTCTTTATTAGATTTCATATGGATTTATTTGCTGGATCAATGGATTTATACATAATTGATGACGCTATTGACCGAACACTGCTGACTACACACAATTATTTCCTCTGGGTCCCAGACATACATTAAATATGAATCAGAATRTGCATAACCCAGGCCAGTTGATAAATCAATGATACCATATGTATAAAATAGAGATTTAGGTCATAGAAAGCGAGTGCAATCATTAGTAGTTTTTTAGCTTTATAACTCCGAAGCATACTAATTGAAATGTCTTTTTACACGATAGGATGATCTTAAATCCTCTTCTTGAAGCAAAATAAAGTGAAAACATTAATACTATGAAGGAAATGAAAATATAAAATTATCGCTTCAAACGTCATGATCACACGCACACTCTGATTGGCTGAAAAACCGCATTGTTCACTTGACACAGGTGGCGCGCGCGCCAAGATTTTCGTCTTTTTCCCCGCCTTTTTTAAGGTTTTACCATAAATATTGAAATTATCAAAATTTCTATATTCTTAATTTGTTTTGCTTAAAATTCTGTGAAAATGAAGAATGAAGCTGCATAAATTAACCTTTCAAGACTCGATTTGATTAGTTTGATCAAAGAGTAAAAAATACTGAAATTGTTGAGTTGAGAGTTTAGTGTTTGATTGTCTTTCATTGAATCATAAAGTGAAACTATTTTTACCAGGTGGCCACAAATGACCTGGGAAATTCGTCGTGCATAAAATATGTCATGTCAATTAAACTTCACAAACATTTAAAAGGAGGACAAGTGCGGGGAAAGAGAGCTATATAAAKCCATCCAAAAGCTCTAAAATAGAAAATTTCTCTGCAAGTTTTGTATAGGAATTTCTCTGGATTTTATCTTGCTTGMGTTTGCGGACTGAGAAAGTAAGTGAGCGTTTGATTTAACAGTTGAASTGTGAAACAGTGGTGATACACAAACAGGTCTTTTTGCGGTAAACATCAAGAGTGAATTTTTTTTATCATTCGCTTGTTGTGTTAAAAGCTACCAATGCATGGAGAAATTCAATTTAGTTGRTCTTTTATCCTAAATAGCGAAAATTAACACGATAAAGCTAAAAGTCTTATTGCAAAGCTCCTTAAATTTTCAATTTCAAGCTCTGTGATTCGTTTTTATGAGTAATAAATGGCTGTTAAGAAACGCGCTTTTACCCCCGGCGCGCAGATAATTCAATCAGTGACGCTCGGTAGTTCCACCGATGTAAAACCTTTGCAATTATGACCGGGAAATAAGCGCTATGTGGGGTTCCTATAACTTAATTATCTTCTATAGTGTAGGCCGATTTTGTTAGACTACTAGAAGCTTCCATAATTTCACTGTCAGTCGCAATTATCATCTTATCAAACTTATTTTTATACATTCTTTGCAAGAAAAATCCTCTGTATGACGGTCAGTTCTATATTACGGACACTGGTACGATATCACGCCCACTGACGTCCACGTTTCGACGCGCCGCGCTTTTTGAATTAACACTTTTCAAGCCCTTTGACTTAGTCCCCTTTTTAAATTCCCACCCGACTTGTCAAGGCCAGGACAAATGAGTAGGCTGCGGAGACTATACTCGYTCACTAACTGTTAGTATTTTTAACACTAGRCCCAGAACATCCAAGAATGTCAAACAAACTTTGCGATGCCCTGTGCAGCCTGTTCTGGGGAATTATCTGGTTGATCGTGCTGATAATATTGGCGTTTCCYATCGGATTTATCACTGCTATTCTATATRTTTTTATTTCRCCGTTTAACGCTTGCTGTGACTGTACCAAGTCGTTAACGGATTTCTTGATGAGAGGAGTKAACTTTCCTTATACTGCCGCAAGTAACGCAGTGAATGGCAAAAAGGGATTTTAATAATTTAAACAATAATTGCACATAGAGATTTCAAAAGGAGTTTTGGAAAAGAATAGACTATGGGAATGCATTGAAGATTGCACCACTAAAAAGGAATGGGAAAATATTTTATATACAACCAAAAGATAAGTGAATGTTAAAATAGTSACTAGTCTTTTGACTGAAGACTACCACGAGTAAGCTATCATTATCGATGATAAAATATATTAATGAAGATTTSRCTKCATWTTGTGYAAGGCCRAGCATTTTCCATATCTTTKYCATAACCTCTTTTGAAAYAGTTAACAATTGCAATAATTGCATTGCGATTGAACAACATTGGTAGTATCGCATCAACATATATATTATTACATCGAAGATATAGAACTGAAAAAGCACAGATGGCAACAAAGAAAACAGCCAGAAAGGTTTGCAACATTTGTATTAATAATTCACGGAGAAAGAACTGTAGAAATGACTACACTGGAGATGAACAACGAAATATAAAATACGAATATTACAATTGCACATAAAACTGCAGTGGAAAATCACAACTTTTATAATGCACAACAATATCAAACAACAACTTATAAACAACGATGAAGCAATTACAACGGAACAGGCACTGCTAAAACAGATACAGACTGGAGAAGACCACTAAATGTTACAACAACATTAACAAAAGATAGAACATTAAAACATTAACAATACATGATTATAACCAAAGCCCAGTTGTACGAAGGGCGAGGCTGCCTTTACAGATGAAACTTGACATGGTATCTCGTCATCTATCGTATGTATTTTACATGCCCAAGGCTAGTAGACGTTTTCTTATATACCAAAAAACATAGTGTACGATCAAGAACGCAAAAAGAAAACAATTGCAACAATTCAACATTCCTGTACAAGTTTTATTTTATTGTTTAATCAAGACTAACACTTAAGACATACTACTTTGGGTAAGATAAATGGTGTTTTTCTGAGCAACAAATAGTCATTATCAAACAGCATCGACGGCTTTGAACAATTTTCAATGAAAATCMACTTAAYTGCAACAACATTGCCATATAAACATWAAACATAAGKTCCWGCTTTCAATGTAGTAGAGCGAAACGCTTGTTTTTAATCCTCCAGGGATAAGAAAACAAAGAGTTTAGTTCTACTAACTAACACCCTATCTTATCTAAAAAGGGCCTAAACTTTTGAAAATAAAAATGTACAAATATTTAAAGAGAAATTATAAGACAGAAAGAAAACCACACAGTCAGGTTGATCTGGTCTTCTTCGTTTCATATTTGTAAAGATGTTATTTTTCTGATGTTTYTTTTTGATTGTTATTATTCATATATGACAAAGTTCTTGCAATTAGGTGCTTAAATAATTTTTAAAAATTACTTGGAWATWAGGTGTTTAGTTTTGAGCTTTTYCGTGGCTATAACCCTGCTGGTATTTACACTCCTTTCAGATGATTGAAGAGGCTTTCATAGACAATCCTGCTGCCAGCACAGAAYCCTYMAAAGTCCTTMAACCATCTTTTTGCAGTGCTAATTTTTCTCCAGAACCACAAATATTAGCAACCTTACTAGAGCAGTTTCCTTTTCATTTTTGCTTTGTTTAAACCCAATGTTGCATTAAACTATTTATCAAGTAAAACAAATGAAAGTTAAAGATATTTCTAGTTAAAAGGAACAATCTTTTATAGTTTAGTACTAATCTGATTGCCCATTAAAATAATCAAAAACCAATCTTGAATAAACACTAGTGAGGACTTCCTAGATCAAAAGCAATTATAGAGGAACTCCTCCTTTCATCACTTGAAAGAACCAAGGCATAACTAGTAAACACACAGTTGCAAATAGATCCCAGATTATTTATCCAGTTGATGCTGTTTGAAGCACATAGTATAATATATTCAAATCATTATCATTATTGAGTATTGATGTAAAATAGAGTACTTAGTTTCATGTCTATCAGTTTCTACTKCTTCAATATATCATCTTATCTTCTGGTTCTTTCTTTTCTTTYGAGTTGTACTGCCTACCTTTCCCTCCAAATACTCCTTCATCATAATAACGGTCTGTCCTGCGTAACGTACCATGGAGTTTGTCAAAAATCAGAGAGTTGAAGCCAAAATTGCAATGGAAATATCTAGAGATGAAATTTCAGGCTATTATTCATACTGAAACAGCAACATATTATAATTAACAATTAGACCTTGCTGTCGAGTGGACTACGAGCTAATAGCCCATGAGGCCGAGTCAGCGAGGCCGAATGGACTATTAGCTTGTAGTCCACGAGGCCGAGAGGTCTAATTGTTTTAGTATAAATTTAACATACTAATCGGTCCAATAATGAAAACAAATTGAAATATCCTTAAAATAATTTATAATTTATAATTTATTGATTTTGATTTTCCTGCGAGTGGTCTATCACATATTAGACCATTAGTAGAGTAGCCAATCACAGCGCAGTATGAGTGATAGACCATTAACATGTTTATACTTATGACATTTATACATATAAATGGAAACTAAAGCATTATAACCTCAATTAATGTTTTCATTTAAATTAAAAACATCTCTTTCTGTAAAACTCAATGGAATAAGATAAACAAAAGGGCATCGAACAATAAAAAGGAAGATTTCATCTTTGTATTTATGTCATCATGATACATTTTTTGTCTCTGATGATGACTTCCCATTTAGATCTTTAACATGGGATGTTTTGAGATGCTGCGTTGTTAGGCCAACAACATAAATGAGCCTGTTTAGGGTAGTTATGGCTAAATAAGCTAATAAAATGTATTTTCTACACATTTCTTACTTGTGATGGTCATCATGGAACATGACGGGTGGTTGCCAAGGAACCATCGAGTAGAGATTGATTCCAGAATGATCAATCATACCAAAGTAGTAGAGGTACATTAAGATACCAACATAYACACCGGCATTGATTGGGAACAAGAACACTGGAACAACAAATGACATCATGAATTATAACAATACATGTTTACTGATGAAGGCTGAAAAGGCGAAACGTCTGGAATAAAGTAATCGACTTTATATGCCTTAAGAAGTATTTCCCCAAAATTATATTAACATGTTTATGTACTGATTTTTCATGGCCACTAATTAATTGGAATAGGTATATTTTGCAGGCATAAATTTTCATGTTTTTGCCAAATAATAATTGCTTTRGATATTGACCTTTTTTGCGGGTCTTAAATTATGTGATTATTATACAATTTTTTATAAAATAAACCAATAGATTTTGTCTTTCAATTGAATGGGTTTCGTGTCTTAAAAAAAGTATTGGAAATGAACTTTGCTTTTTTGTCTCTATACCGCAGACTTCCTGTTGAGGATACTTAATAATACTCCTGGAAGACATTGACAGTTGTTCTTCTTTMGCAGTTATAAATTGAAAAAATTACTCTTGATTTTTATTATCTTACATACKTACCTGGTGAGATAATAAACACTTGGAAACCTAGAAACTCARCTGGGTGCATTGCRGTRGARCTGAAGCATGTAGGAGCTTTGTAGCGRTGGTGCATTTTATGAAACCTTTTATAAAAGAATGGCCAGTGAAGCATTCGATGATAGTAATAGGCACAGGCATCTTCAAACAAGAATAAAACTATTGTAGACAACACAAGATACACCCAGCCTCGCTCCAGGGGRTCATAGTAGACAGTTGTGTAGCCTCCATTAGCAATGTAACAGGAAATCACTCCAAAGACTGCTGCACCAAGGACCATGTTAATGGCACCTAGCGCAACTTCATGCATCTCATCCTCACGCGAAAGAAACCTAAATAGAAAAATGAATATGTGGTGCAATTAACCTAAATAACCTAAAGCAATGACTACATACATTGCATTTACTGAAATTTTCAAAAATATGCAAACTCCAACAGCTCAACRAATGACACCTTTCATTCAAAACTACTGTTTTCAAAACTAAATAAACTCTTGGTCACACAAATAAGCAGGGGTTTAGTTGTAACATAATAGTTTTGAGAAAGTAGCATTGAAACTCCAGATTCATCAGCAGGGAGCCTTAGTAGTTAAAGAGCTGGAAAYTTACCTTTTTGGTTGGCACTTCCATTTTTCAGGTTCATCCTTTTGCCTGACATAGAAATACCACTGCAGGAATCCACCAAGTGTAAAGTATATCAATGTAGAACTGGCAATATTGATTAGAATATACCAACGAACATCCTTCAGCCCTATGTTTTCCAAAAATCCTGGTCCCTCGTCCTGTATATATGTAGAGGCTGGTATCTTGATGCCAAACTGCTTACATGCCAACACAAGAACTAGGGTCCATTCACCTGAAAGAAGTGATAGAACTCAATAAGTAAAGGMATTTTTAAAATCTCTGTGTASACAATTCAGTTTTTTCATGGTTGTTTGATTTGCATTTTAATGTTATKCARTCGCCACAACAACAAGTATAGATCCAATCAAAGACTTAACATAAATGTACTTTTGTTCTTTTCTACTAAATTATTTATATTGTCGCAGCGCTATGTACTATAAAACAGTTGATTATGCAAACCCAACAGTTAGCTTGTCTTGGTTTCTAAGGCGGATGAAAATAATACAAGGTTCAATAAACTCGATATCATATAAAACATAAACTCTTTTCACCTTCCTAAGTCAAACGAAAAAGGAAATATATGCATAAAGCGACTGAAATCAAAGTACAAGTTACAATATCTGTGACTTACCTCGAAGGGCGCTACCCAAGATCATTGTCACAATCCCAGCGATTATTATTCCCAAAGTACCTGGCATATGTCGCCAGAAAATTGAGAATTTRCCAACAAATGCATTTGCAATAACCTCTGATCGAGGTATACCATCCAAGATCTTCATGCTTTCAGAGAAATAAGAATCTTGATTTAAGCTTTACTTAATAGGGTGATCTGTTGATATTTTCGAGTTCAAAGTTCAGCCGAATAAAATCGATTGAGAACTTTTAAACTGAGCACATTAARGACTTAAATCAAAGTAAGATTGCTTCTAAATACCAATAAATGGAGAAAGAAACACAAACAAATGGATCAATCGCTAGAACACACGCACCGAACCCAACATTTGGCAAAATTGAAACGAACAAATATTTTCCTTTTGAAGACAAATTCATTTTTTTAGGGGAGGGGTTATGTATGTAAATTGTGCATTCATATTTCTTGCAGTAATCACKATATATAATTAAAAAATTGTAACTTAAAAGTAGATTTTACGCTTAAAAATTAATATTAAATAGTATTTACAACTTTTAAAGGGGTTCAATTTATGTTTAGAAGTATAAATGTCGAAACAGGCCCAAACCTCCCCTCCCTTGTGTAGATTTCAACTCTTTCCCAGTACCCTCTCTGAAGCTATTTTCAAAATGGCGGAAGCACTGGGGACGAGATTCTTCAAAACTGCCCATATTTGCAATTCTAGCTGGAGTTTTTACCCGGAATTGAGAGCCCAATGGTTTCGCGCTAGGATTGTGCAGAGGTTGAAGTTTATAAGCTTAATATTCATTGACCGCGCGGAGAACAGCGAAGTAGGGGCTAAAAGCGAGGAAAGGGAGGCTAATATAAGCATTAAAGCTTGAGAAGCTTAGTGAACCTATATATGCCGGATGTCCGCAAAAGCGTGTGGAAGCTGAAGTCAGTTTCGGTGTTTCGCGTATCAAATTGGGAACCCTTTGTTCTTTCCAAACTATAATTGATTTGATAAATTACATTTATTCAGATCCAGCAACAATTTATGACAATATCTCAACTGATCAGATTAGCGTTGAAATGCTTCTTTCTGTGCGGAGCCTTTGCAGTTGGTCACTAAAGAGACCCTACAGATAGACCCCAGATTACTCCTGTCGATGCTCTACGATGCTGCTTGAATCACATAGTTACATACTATATATGTATTATATAAGCAACCATAACTACTATAGTTGATATTAGTTACTTGATGTACCTTACCAGGAGGAGCCGACGGGTTCCTGGGAGAAATATATCTGTTCTAATTCTTATGTCCCAGCCAGCTGTAAGTCACAACTGGTTGCCAGCGAGAAATTTAGCAAAAAAGAACTCTCCAGGCAAGGAATACATTCTAAGAATTTTGCCAGGAAAATAAAAATTTCCTAACTAAAAAAATATAGACCGGTTTTGACCATAAAAACGTTTGCCAGGAACAATATTATTTCAAAGAAGGAAAGGAAGGCACACTTGCTTGTGAGATTGTAGCAATTAATGTAGCTCAAAATCCCTTTCCCAGGAAAAAAAATCGTACAAGAACAGTTATTTAGAAGACTGAGACCCCGTCGGTTCCTCCTGCCTTACGTTCACTATTCAAAAAGAGACTCCAGATCACACTGAGATCATTCCAGTCGATGATGCTTAGTCAATATCAAGATTAATGTATCAGCTCTGTAAGTTGGCTCCCTTCAATATGCCATCGTTTCTTCAGATTTCAGTTTCTTTTCTTCTGGGTTGTACTGTCGGCGACCTTTCCCTTCAAAAACTCCTACATCATAATAACCATCTTTTCTGCGTAACGTGCCGTGGAGTTTGTCAAAAATCATTAGGTTGAAGCCAAAATTGCAATTGGCATATCTAGAAATAAAATTTAAAGTGTATTCACTACGACATACAACATAATTAAACAGTTAGACCATAAGTTCGAGGATGATTTTTATATTTATCAACATCTTTCGACTATTTTCTCTGCATTGGATGCTTCTACCATGATCATGAATATACCATAGTTCAGTAGCCAATCAGAATACTGAATTTGCGTGACGTTGAATGTGACGTTTTTATGGTCTTGCATTACATTTATAGCGAACTCTGGTTTTCTAAACTGATGCATTTTCGGGGTCTGAAGGTGAATATTTACATGCCAATTATCTATCTATTCGTGTCTTATTTTTCCCCACTATCCATTGTATATATATTTTTTCTATTATTCATTACTCTTTATGATATTTTGATTTTTTTCATTGGCATTATTCATTATTCCTTTTTGATATTTTTTCGTTATTCATTATTCCTTAGGAGTTTTATTTAATTATTCATTATTCCCAGTCAATTTTGAACCGTTATTCATAATTCAATATTCACCTTCAGACCCCGAGTATTTTTATGATATTTCTTACTTGTGATGGTCATCATGGAACATGACGGGTGGTTGCCAAGGATAGATTGAGTCGAGTTTAATTCCAGAATGGCARATCATACCAAAGTAGTAAAGGTACAGTAACATGCCAACATACACACCTGCATTGATTGGGAACAAGAACACTGGAACAACAAATCACATCTTATGAATTATACTGAAACATTTTTGGTTTTGTACACTGGAAAACATCGCGCGCTTTAAAGGTTGTAAATTTGATGTAAATATGATGTAAGTGTCCAAAATTCTGTAAATTTGATGGAAATGATTTCCATTAAATTTACAGAATTTTTGACACTTACATCATATTTACATCAAATTTACAACCTTTAAAGCTCGCGACTTTTTCCAGTGCGTATAAGCGTTTTTTAATTGTTCTTTAGGTGAATCTGCTTTGCTTTCTTACTCTGCAGTGGAAGTTGATACTTATACTATAATATTATAGACAATTCAGTATTGCAATACTCTCTGTATGCTAGAAACAAAGGATTGTTTGGTAAGAATTAATCTTTCTGATTCTTGAAAATCGTTGAGCTTTTTTTAGAATGACAAAACTCTTTGTTTGAAAGCTGTGTTTCTATGTTCTCATGAAATGTTCTCTTTTTTGCACATTTTAGTCAATCAATCAATGCACACATTATGCAGTAACTTAATAATTTTCTCTTATATCAAAATAGTGTTTTGTACTATACCTGGTAAAGTAATGAAAACTTGAAAACCGAGAAACTCAACTGGGTGCATTGCATTGGAGCTAAAGCATGTAGGAGCTTTGTAGCGGTGGTGCACCTTATGGAGCGTCTTATAAACGAATGGCCAGTGGAGCATGCGATGATAGTAATAGAARCACCCATCTTCATATAAGAATAACCCTACAGTAGACAACACAAGATACACCCAGCCTCGCTCCAGCGGATCATAATAAACAGTTGTGTAGCCTCCATTAGCAATGTAACAGGAAACCACTGCAAAGACTACTGCACCAAGGACGGTGTTGAAAGCACCTAGTGCAAACTCGTGCACCGCATCCTCATGAGAAAGAAATCTAGAAAAAAAGAATTATATGTGACCATGAACAAACTTCCAGCAATGACTATATCAATTTTAATTAGTGAAATTTTTGAAAATCTTCAAACTCCAATAGTTGAGTGAGTGAAATTGCGAGTGTTCGACTAAAGAATTTATTAAAGATCCACCGTGAAGAAATGGCGGTACACAAAGTAAGCTTATTGTCGTCGTCAGGTCTACCTTTTTGGTTGGCACTTCCACTTTTCAGGTTCATCCTTTTGCCTGACATAGAAATACCACYGCAGGAATCCACCAAGTGCAACGTATATCAGTGTAGAGCTGGCAATATTGATTAAAATATGCCAACGAACATCCTTCAGCCCTATGTTTTCCAACAATCCTGTTCCCTCATCCTGTATTGATGCAGAGGCTGGTATMTTGATGCCAAACTGCTTACATGCCAACACAAGAACTAGGGTCCATTCACCTGAAAGAAGAGATGGCGCGCAGTCAATTAAGTAAAGAAATTTTTAAAATTTTTGTGTTCACAATTCAGTACTGTCATAGTTGGTTGATTATATACATTTTAAAATGTTGTGCAGTCACCACAATGAGTCGAACAAGCCCTATGCTGTTTTCTTTAAGACGAATGAGATTAACAAAAGGTTTACCAAAGTCGATATTGTGTCAAACATAAGATTGTAGTTAACATTTCTCAAGTCAAAAGAAAAAMGAAGATGTGATTGCATTAACCGACTGAAATAAGATGACTTGTGATCTTTACCTTGAAGGGCACCACCCAAGATCGTTGTCAAAATCCCGACGATTATTATTCCCAAAGTACCTGGCATATGTCGCCAGAAAATTGAGAATTTCCCAACAAATGCATTTACAAAGGCCTCCGATCGCGCTATAACATCCAAGAGCTTCATGCTTTCTGAGAATCCAAATCCTGATTTGATTTGTTGCTATTTTCGAGTTCAGCCAAAAAAGAACCTAATGAGAAGTTTTAAATTGGGCACAAAAGTCTTGAAGCAAAGTAAAATTGCTTTTMAATGTCAGTAAAGGGAGAAAGAAATCAAAAAAAGGATCCAATGAGAGTACAGCATATCGTCATCAAACCAGCAGTACCTTTGTGGTCACGAAGTTGAAAAATCTAGATTGATATACTATACAATGAGGTACATGAGTCCACGAGTCACATGAGACATGATGACTCATCYCTCACGTATCCACACATGCCTCTACCAACCTTTGTTTCTGTGGCCTTGTTAGACAATACTGGTAGATGGTAAGCATGCAATATATACATCAAGATTTTCGACAACAATGCGTCCGCCATCTTGAAAAGTGGGACTCGAATCCCTAAATTATAACTTCTAAAGAAATTAAAGGTTTTAAGCTAATGACAAGTTAATATAATACGATATAATGATGGATTAGTTGACTTAAGAAATACGAAATGTGTTCCAAGGCACAACATAGTGATTCGGGTCTCACTTTTCAAGATGGCGGTCGCATTGTTCTCCAAAACTAGCGAATAAACGGTTACTCCCCTATATTCGCTTTACGGGTACGTACCGCCAAGCAGGGTGTGGTTTATCAGACATTTTATTCCGGAACAGGGTATGTATTTTCGAGAATATCGGTACTGGGCCCTGAATTAATATACAATATATTTACGTACCATTTAATGTTATTTACCAAACATACCAAACATGATATGGTAATCTAAATGAATCTATTATTCCACTCATGCRCAACAGGTACTGAAATTTATAACATCTTTTAAACACCAGATCGTTACAGATCCTGTATTTTTAATTTTAAGATGATAAATCRATGGGAAATTAATGATWAATGTATTTGTTTGGAGAACCCCCATGCAGACAGCTCACAGCATGACAACACGTAGAGTCGACAACAGACCAAGATTATAACTCAATTTCTCAAGGCATATTTTTTTATTTTKTTATGTATCCTACATCCAGTTGCTCTTAATGGCAATCATTTGAGTTTGTTTCCCCAATTTTTTATACGAAAACAGAATGAAAATATACTGCGGCATTCAACTGGTCCTTGGCCCTTCGTCGGTCACGAGAGTGATGTACGTACTCTTAGACCAATACGGAAGAAACACACAGCTGCGTCGAAATCAATACTTAAAGAATCGAGAAATTGTTTGAAAGCAAWGAGTGGAAAGAGGTTGGTGAAAATGTGTTACTGCGGAACTTATTCGTACGGAGATGGATTTTTCTCTTTCAAATAAATCGAAATACGACTATTTCCACGACAAAAATGATTAATCATAAATTTCGTACACAAGAAACATTGCAGGTATTGAGAGCATAGTAGTGACATTGCTGCATTCCTTGTCTGATCGGAGTTAACGAAATTTAATCATGTCGCTTTTCGCGCTGCTATGCATGGTAAAATCGCGCAGTTTGGAGCGTATTCATATTATTTTTTGACTCTAAACAAAATTATAGTATTTTAAAATTGATATGTTATCTAATTACTTTAAAATTTCAGAATTTATACAATGTCCGTATGAATAGAAAACATATCTCGAAGTCGGTTACCGTAATGAATAACTCCCGGACATGGAATGTCACGAAAAATTATATGTCCGGGAGTCAAAATAATTCACCAAAATCACAGTAAAATGTAAATCCAGTCTAATCAAAGATACGTTACGGTATTTAGGTGCAGATAGTCTTTGATAGTCTTTTGACCAAATTCAGTTGACAATTTAAAGCGTCTTCGCCGCTCGGCATAGTAAAACTAATTTAAAATGTGATGATTTGGAAAACAATAAGCTTGGTGAAAGCCGTCACATTACACTGAACATCGGTATTCGGCCGCAAACGMGCACTCAGCACCCATCCCTACCCCTGTCAAATAATAAATCCACTATGCAAAGCTGTATATCGTTTGCTCTTTCCTGAGCTGAGCTCTAATTGGCTCGCTGCTCCCTAAGGATTTTGGTGACGTCATATATTAGCATAGATCTTCACCGAATAGACTACCCCAATTAGATGTTAGATATCTATAAGTGTCTTCATAGTACGATGGTCTAAGAGGGTAGCTAAAGGTATGCTCTAGTGGGCGGCTACCCCCTCACTCYCTGGCCTTTTGGTTAAGACTAAGTTTTATGTTCACTCGGGATAGCGTGGAAGAGCCGAAATCTCTAACCGTAACGTAAGCCGATTCGACGCCTCAGCTTCATAGAATGTCTCGGGGGAATCGTCCCATCTTTTTAGATTTTTATTTTCATTATTTCTTATGTATTCCGGGGGGGTACATCTTCTCCTGAAGTGAAAGTCCTGAGTTCGAGTCCTGCTGCTGGAATTTCTCTTTTTTGCTGGCTTGTGTATTGTTTCTTTTTCGTTTGTTTCTTGTTTTCTTTTCTTCTTTCTTCTTTAATTTTTTTCTTTTAGTCTTTTTCTTTGCTGTTTTCACTTCGTTTTCTTTTTTTTAGTGATTTCTCTTTTCAGCTTAAAGGACTCGCAAGGAACGCCTGCTGCAAGTGGATGATTACGGTTCCGTCACTCAACATCATTGCCGGATTTCCAACCGAGTGGGGACTGGGCAAAATTYCCTAATTGGACATTTATGATTAATCATTTGAAAGAGAAAAAAAAATATGTCCGTACGAATAAGTCACGCAGTCTATTCATACGRACATTTTCTATGACCTGTTTCCAACTCTCTTTTCTGAATTTGAGTTTGAAAGAAGGTTGGAAAAAATTTCCGTATGAATAGACTGCGTGTACGGACAYGATGTTTTACTCATTCAAATCTTGAAATACGCTCTTACACCTGTTATCCCTAGCACGTCCTACGGTCTAGATTTTTCTATCTAGAGACCGCGCGCTCGGTAAATAGGACCTACGAATATCATTTGAACATGGTGGTTAAAACATACGCTCAACAACTCTCCGCGCCTGAAAGCTCCACCGTATTTTTTCCACAGCTCAAAAAATCTCAACGGTAAGAATTATTGCTTCAAGCTGAGYGGTATGACTGACAAACGTCTAGATGTTTCTATCGAGACCAAGCAGGCTCAGTTAATAAGAGTTTTATATGGCCGTTTCCATCCAATATTAAAATTGCAATTCAAAGATAACGCGCGCGCAGAACTTATTTTTTTCTGGATATTAAATATAAAATAGATCTGAACAGTTTTTCTTGCCTTAATAACGCTACTTTAAACTATTGCACAATGTTTTGGAATATATATAGCTGAAAACAAATTCATCTGTTTCGCGATCGATTTCGCCGAGTAATACGCAAAAATCACATCCATAAAATATTTRTGAATATAACTCGAAAATGTTTTCAACCATTCCAAAACGTTGTGCAATAGTTTGAAGTTAAAATGATGATGTCAACCGCTTTACTGGATCTCATGAATTTTTTGGGATATTTGCAAAAACGAATTTAGACAAAATGCAATTTCCGTTGCCTAGGTAACGTTGATGGAGCTAAATATTAAGCCAGACAAAACTTTGGTCAATGCTTTATTATTGGTCCAAACACCAATTAAATCGGTGCATGGCAAGATTTTCAAAAAGCAAATTTAAAAAGAGAGGTATGGTCGAGAAAAAACAAAACAGCCCCAAACCTCCCCTCCCTTGTGTATATTTCAGAATTGGCCATGTAACCGTGCCTTATTGATTCCAAAATGGCGGGAGCAAGCTCTTTTGTTTYGTGGTTCGTAAACTTCAGAAATCCTATAGATATATGGAACARTCATCCTACATTTTTACTGTGCGAAGTGGTATACCTCCTACTGGCAGTAATGACATTCATTCATGGTAAGAAATTGTGTAAATTGCTTGAATTTTACCCGGGATTTTGTGAGTCGAAACTCTCACTTGCGCAAGGTGATGCAGAAATTGAAGTTCAGTTTATTAATCATGGACAAATGCGAAGGAGAGGGTCTATTAAAGCTCGGCGAACATATGAAGATGTCCGAAAGAGTGTGACATAATATGAAGAAATTTGAGCAAAATATTAGAAACTTTGGGAGCGGAATATGAAGTTATGTAGCTACCGCCCCTTCTATGCCCCCATCCGCGCGATCCATATGGAAGCGAATCTATTTGCACTGTGATTTGATTTATAAATCGCAAAAATACCCATGGGTGTGACTTCTGTTTTATCAAAACAGCAARCTTGTTTAATTTCAGATAATTTTTCCTCTAGAGAAGAGCGTCTTTTTWTCAGAGTGGAGAGTCATTTTAATCACATTTTTACTGTTTGTAACTTACTTTCATATTCAAACATATTGATTCTTATCTTAATGATTATTAATCTTAAGCTATTCGTCATGGAGGATGTTACCTGATGTTGTGGATCGCAACAATTCTTCATGGATTGACGACAGAATGTGTTTCCTACTTCGTCCCTGATGTSGATAATTTTTGGCATGCCCAGTCTACAACCATGTTTATTGAAAAGAGACTTCCATTACATATTTTTCTATTCTGTAAGTAAAATGTTTGTTGGTATTTTGATAGATATACAGACTCATTGCACTTGGCATAAGGCTGTCTTCAATTTAGCGGGGTAGGGAGGGGGTGTCAAAAGAATTTGATATTATATTTAGCCATTTACCAATGAAAAATGGCCTATTTTTAAAATATTTAAGTGGCAGATTGAAACTGTTTAAGGGCGGATCCAGGGAGGGGCAAAGGGGGGGGGGGCTGTAGCCCCTCCTTTGAGCATAAAAGGTAAACTGTTTTTTTTTTAATATTTTCAATGTTGTTTACTAACAACAAATAAAGGTCATTTATCCATCCTTAAAACCATTTAGCCTCCTTTCCCCCATCCTCTTCCCTACAAAYTCCAGCTGGAYGCACCCTTGCTGTTAGGTTGATAAAACTGTACCTTTTGTGGTCAGTTTTTGAATTGGCAGGATTWGCAACAATCTTGCAGACCTCCAATMCCCMYTTYMCCCTACACACCCTTGTAAGGAGTTRTTTAGACTGAATTCTTGGTTTGCATGTTACGTCACAGCGGCCATGTTGGARGAACTTTAACAAAGGATTTSTCATTAGTATCTMTTGTTCATTCCTCCAACATGGCTGCCGTTCTTTTRTCTTTTGAAYCTCATGGGAATGGKTGAAAACGATCAATATAMTTGATTTGAYAAATCRTCTATCTTATTAGATCCAGCAACAATGTACACAGCATCAGTGGCYGTATCAARATTAAGGCTTCCTTTCAGTGCASAGCCTTTTGCAGTAGGTCTTGCAGAYGTCCTTCTTGACTTTCCATTTGATATCATGGGAATTAAACTCCTTTGGTGGACGTGGCACGATACTGATCCTAACGTCTTTGACCGACATTATTACGTACCCTGGACAAGCTATATCTTTCATATGTCATTTGCGTTTAGTYTGACTTTTATTTTCCATGGGACAAGGAAGATTTTTATTGGTGCAGAGATGTATCAGCCATCAGCAAGGTAGGAGTTCAGTTCTGCACTTCAGTTTTTGTGTTATATAGGTAACACCAATCAGATGGAATTTGTCTCCTCTAATGCAATCCTTTCATCCTTGCCTCCTATTTCCCTCTTCCATTCCCACATTTTATTCTCTTCTTTGCTTGTATCATTCCATTCTTTTCTTGTTCTGCCTCCATATTTCCTTCCCTCCTCTTCACCSACTGTTTCTGGCTACCCTTCCCAACCTCCTCCCATCCTTTTTCTTCCTTTTCTTWTTACCTGGCTTTCTTCTTTTTTGCACTCATCTCCTTTCTTCTCTCTTTCATTCCCTCTTTTCTTTTACCTTTTGATCTCAGTCCCCTCCATTTGTTAATTCCTTCTTCCCATCTATCCTTGCGTCCATTCTGTTGATTGATTAATTCTCGCTTTATTCTTTTCATTCTTTCATCCCTTTGTTCCACTACTCATGTCCCATAATTAAGCCCATTGTCTTCTCTGCCCATATTTCAGCTGGTTCAAAGAAGCTCTTTGTGCCATAATCACTGGGCTTTTCTCTATGCCATTTGCTGTCCTCCAGTTTGTGATGTTTTACCATCTACCCCATGATRTTTATGGCATTCACACAGAAGTTCTTGTTTGTGTGATGGTCATGGTGTATGCTTTGGTTGTGTGGAGGTCAGATAGGAACYCTGCATTAAATAGTAGAGAAAAAGCTACATCCAATAAGAACACAAAAGGTGAGTCTCAAAACTTCAAAATAATTTAAGATTGCATTCATAAACTTTTCCATGACGTGTAATTTTGCATATTTTTATGCATGCACCATCTTAATTTTTCTTCTCAAATTACTTGAAGTTTTTCTGGGTCTGGTTTCTGTAATATTTTGCTTTCTATGGGAACAGGTTATCTGACACTGCTCAAACCCCAACCTGGAGGACTAGGGAACATCCTTTTTTAACAGGGCACTACTCTTTTGCCTGTCACTGCAATACTCAAAACACTTTATAATGCTGTCTTGGCATATGTGCCTATGGTTCTTTTTTGAGTTGTAAGAATATTTGATTATTGATCTACATGTTTTTCAGGTTCCAAAGAGTCAAGTAGCAAAGTAAATGAGATTAGTTTTAATGTAATTTTGGTATTTGTATTCTACATCTTCTTGGTCATTTTTGCTAAACCACAAAATGAAGTTTCAGTTGGACTACATCAGGAGGTTGGYAACTGTTCCCATGAAACAGCTGTGCATACTCCATTAGGACAGGTGAGACACAGGGTGGAATCCAGGGGAGTGAACTAGCTCCCTTTTGGATATTCCTATTTTATTTGATTTTTTTTTTCATTTCATAATAAAATTAATCAAACATGYAATATGAAATAATGTAAGCAATTGCAATAAACCCCACAAATAGGAGCATTTCATTTCTCAGACCACAATGAGCACAGGATCTGCATATGAGCCCTTTAATTTCTTGGTCCACTCCTGAAACATATCACTTTCTTTTATTACTAACTTTGCTTGTTTTCTCTAATATATTATTCCTTCTTTTAATATGATTGTATGTGAGTCTGTTTACTTTCTTCCCATTCTTGCTTCTCTCTTTATTTTTTTCTCCTCTTGTTCACAGGTATTGCRCAAGAAAACATATTTATGCACCAGCAACTATGATGAGGAATACTTTAATTGGCATTGTTTCAAASATGGCCGACCACCATTACCAGGAAGTAAATGGTACCCTATTTGTGGTACCCCATATCCAAACCATGCAGAGTATATTTTAGTAGTTATAGCATTCTGTGTGTTGGGATTAAGTGTTTATTATCAAATGTTGTGGTGTTCTGTTGAGCAAGGGATAAAGCTTAAGAAAAGCTAGGTATGAAAAACAAAAGAAAAACAAAAAGCAAAATGGAACAAAAGAAACATTAGAATGCAAGCAAAGAAAAAATAACAAAATGAAACAAAATTTGGCAAAACCATAAATCAAAAACAACAGATATATCTAATGAATTAAAGTATTTCTAGTACATTCAAACGTCATACAAAATGAATGTTGGAATGAGATCTAAGGCCGTTACTCTAGTATAGTATTGCATGACAAACTTCACAATGCTTATACTTAAGATATATCAAGAATATGCTTTAGTTTTTTAGAGGATTTTTTCCCCAAATCTATTGATTCTTCGAGGTTCAGTGCATTGTAGCTAAGTAACAATTGTAATCAGTTATCTTATATGATATAAAAGGCTAAAAAAGCAGACTTTGAAATGTCATTTGAGTGTTTTCCATATTGGGCTCCCTGTGTTGATTCAATTTCCGGTATTTAACAGATTCTGAAAAGTATTAAGTTCAGCCATAGTTAATATTAACTATGGTTCACTAGCTACAGGAGGCAACATGCACCGAAGATATGCGTATTGTTTTTGTGTTAATAATCTACAAAGCCTGTTTTATGTAGTGGTTATTATTGAAAAAACCGAATAATTTACGACGAAAATCCGGCAACGCAAACGTAGACTCGGTAAAAGCGACTGTACGTCGAAAGACCTCGAAAGTGAAACGGCGCTTGACGACTTTATACTCTGTTATCTCCGTTATCATTCATCGCTAAAACGAAAACATGTAATATACTTGTAGAGGATTCAAGACCATGGATAAAGACGACGGGATTGCAGTGGACATTATTGAGGTAAATTTTACGGTCAAAACGTCAACTTATTGGTCGGTGTTTAGATAAAAAGAAAAGAGATCGTTAAATCTGAGGAATGTACGCGATCTAGAGGTCATTTTGTGTTGTATATGTCTGAAATGTCTGTAATATATTATCTGTAATATAAAGGTGTCTATAATGTAGTGACATTCTAAATATAGGTGTCCGTATTATATGGGTGTTCGTAATATTGAGGTGTCTGTGTTATAGAAGTGTCTGTGATATAGAGGTACTGTCCGTAATAAAGAGGTGTTCGTAATATAGATGTGTTCGTATTATAGAGGTGTTCGTAATATTGAGGTGTCTGTGTTATAGAAGTGTCTGTGATATAGAGGTACTGTCCGTAATAAAGAGGTGTTCGTAATATAGATGTGTTCGTATTATAGAGGTGTTCGTAATATTGAGGTGTCTGTAATATAGAGGTGTCCGTAATATAGAGGTGTCAAATAGTTTACTGTATTGTATATGTGGGAAGGTGTTTGTAATTTTGTGATGTCCGTAATATAGAGGTGCCCGTAATAGACAGAGAGGTACTTGCCTCCCCTCCAATGTACTATAATAAATAGCTGCGTCAATGTCGTAAGCCTGTGAAACAAATAGTCAATGAAATAAAATCTAACCCGAGAAAATGAAATACCTGCTTCTCTTTGGCTTTGCCTGTTTGTTTGTTTGCTTGTTTGTTTGTTTTAAGGTTTATTTTTTTTACGTGTTTGTTGTCGTATGTGACTATGGCTATTGTCTCACAAATGTCTCTACCCTTGTCTTTCAGTATTCTCCAACCGCACAAATGTTTCAACGTCTCGCATCATCAGCAATGCCACTGTTTTTGCTACTTCAACTTTTCCGACTGGCTTGTTTTGTTCTATTTACCATTTTTATTGTCGATTGTATGTTGGAACAACAGCAAACTTCAGTAGATTGCAAAAACTTTACCATCTACAACGAGCCTTACCAATGGAAGTTGTGTTGGCTTTCCTGTTCAATWCTAACGTCATTCATAATGCTGTTTGCATTGTGCAAAAGATTTGTACCCGAGCTGCGCCCTCAGAAGAATCTCAAAATTATAAAAATYCTTCTGAAGAAGCAGTTCTTTTGGTCGTATAACTCTCTCATTRCGTTAGTCATTGCGTATGATATTCTGATAATCATCAACAATAAAGACWGCAAGGTGTACATTGAAGTGTTGGTGATATTATCCAAGATCTTCACCATGTTGTTAGTCTTCCACTTGAATTTTACACACCCTCCTTCAACGCACCWGGGCTTCAAGATGATAACGATAGTTTGTTATTACTTTTCACTTCTTATATATTGCTTGGACAACACTTGTAAAGCAATAACAACGGCAGCACAAGTTGCATTTAAAGTTTACACTGTACATAGTGGAAGAGATGTCGACCCAGTCGTTATTGTGGACTTGATGTTGATGGCTACTAGTGCTGCGCTGTACAATTATTTCCTCCAGTTCTTTTGGAATAAAATGTTCTTTGGAGGGAAGGATATTTTGACAGTTTGCAGACAAGACTTCACACAGACGTTGGATGATGCTTATTGAGTTCAATGCTTTGAACTTCATGTTCTGCGATTCCTATTCTTTCTATAGTCACTGGGATCGTCGGCTCACTGCTTGTTGCGCTATAAACCTGATGAATCATACTGCAACTGGAAGAACGCTACCAAAAAACGATAGCCTTCGAACTACTCGATTTGAGCATAGTTAACTATGATTTGAGTGCGAAACAAAGCTCTAAAACTGAGCTCCAAATAACTTTCAGAAGCTGTATAACACCTTGCTTCCACCCGATTCTTTTGCGCATATCAAACTAATTTACAACATTTTGCAAGTTCACGATTCTTAGAGCGAGGAAGAAATTTTTTCAAAAGTGTACAGTATACTTTTCCGCGTCAGTAAATAAGTGAATCTACAAAAAAGTGGATTTGCAACGTTTCGCAACAAATCAATTGATGTTCTACATCCCTATCTGTAAATTATGAATGAATGCATGAATAAATTAATTAAATTAATCAAAAAGAGAAGGAAGTTCCACCTTCCTGGACCAACTCAGACSACCAACAAGCATCTAAAACAGTAGCAAATCAATTAAAAACAGCAATATAATTACAGCAGTTTACTAATCCACTAATCGATTACCAAACTGTGTTTTATAAAAGGTGGTTCCTTGCTGAGTGCCAGGTAACTAGACTTTCTGGAAACTTTGCCCAGATATTACGTCAAACTTTAAAATTTTTCTTGACTTTGACCCAAGAAACCCCTACTTTGTTTTCGTTTCTAAGTTAAGCACCTTTTTTTATTGCTAGATTACACGATATATTTGGACACTAAATGCAGAATACTGACACGTGCTACTTGGATACACCATGGTCCATTGTATTCGAGGGCAGCTTATGGCTTCGGGTATAGGGAGCTTTTCCAGTAATTATATTTTGAGTTTATTGCGACATGTTCTTTCATAAGGAAAGAATAACAACAATAYTGGAATCAATGGTTGTCTAGAAGAAATATTTGCCAATAAGTTCGCGAAAACAGGGTTTTATAATAAAAAAAGGTTTAGTTGCTAAGATTGTAAAATGCACTCTTAAAGCTGAGTGCTTTGTATTTCTTAGGTGAACAGCTTCAATCACAACACTTTCTATACAATCTTTTTTGGCAGCACTTAAACAACAATCGTCGCGTGGAGAAGGTATTTTTCTGACTCCGGAAKACAAAACGGCCACCAAAGTTTTTCAGCTCCACAAAACAGCAATCTCTAYATCATTAAAAAAGCACTTCAACTGGGGAAAAATGAAGTATATACACRAGAAAGAGTTCTTGTTTTGCTGGTGAATTTTGATTTTCATGTGCGGAAGTCGAAGAGAAAGTTACAAAACACCTTTTACCAATGTGACAACCGAAGAAGAAGGAACACGATCGACTTTCTCTCCACGCGAAAATACTAAACAYGACTCACTAAGCAAAGAGATTGCTATGTATGCTCTAGCCAAAAATATCTTTATAGCAGCTTGACCCTTCCCTACGCTTCTCGAGTACTCCTCCCCGACACTAGTGTTYGAAACATGTGCTCTTTGAATAACAACACAATTAATTTTTCCCGCCAAAAGAGGTAGRCGTGACGGCAGTGCAGATGGCCGATGCATGGGAACATCTGCATTTTTGTCTTTCCGCTCGGACGAGTCTGCAGGTTTCCGAATCTAAATATCAGTCTTTGTATGGCACCGAATGTATGGAAGACCATTGGAAAAGACAATGAGAKAAATCAGGTTTCTTTAAAAGACAAAAACATATGATACTTGGAGAACAGATGCCCTGAATTCAGCGCCACACATGCCTGTGMARAAGCCGCTACCGACCGATCTTGGTTGGAGAAAGATGTAATTGTAATTCTCTTCTCAAATGTTAGATTAAAACATGTATTTACTAAACCAAGTGAATGTCCATTTACTAAATAAGGCACTTGGAATAAATGGAAGCTTGTACTTCAATATTYGAGTTGGTATTCCTCGATTAATATATATATTTTGAGACCGTATTCAGTTTYGGAGGCAAGTGTTTGTCATGAAACCCTTTGAAAACCTAAGATTTAGTTGCCGGCGCTAAAGTCTCGGAAGTTAATTGAAAAATTACCACGTTTTGCTATCCAAATTGAATGTTAAAAACATCTTTATGCAGAATCTGTCATAATTATCACCTATCTGTAATTCATATGAGTTTAACTTCTGAATATCAAAGAAGATAGTCAAAGATTTAGTCTGCAAAATATAAATATAAGTTCAGACAGCTATTTCATTCAAATATAAAATCTTTTATTACAAAAAAACTACTTTAATTTGTACTAATTTCACTCAATAGAAGCAATTACTGAGAACTGCACAGTATTAAATAAACATTGAAAAATATGTATACAAAAATAATTCTTTCTGGTGTAGACAATTGATCATTAAATCTCTTTACATTTTTGCATTATATAATAATGAGTTCTTTCGTTTTAATTTCATTGTTCTGACTTGATTTTCTTGTAAATTTTTCCCCTTACTATGATTTCTTTGGACCATTTCTTTAATCACACTTGATTTGTTATTTTTGTGTATAGTTCTCGATTAACTCCGAGTATATCCAAACAATTTTTCGAGCTTGAAATATCCCCGTACCTTTAAGTTGRTTTGTGTCATCTTGAAACTTATGGAGAATCCTTTTTTGGCATCATTTTTGGCAAATTTGAAGCACGAGTCTATTGCCGACTCTGTATTTCAGAGTTTGTTTGGATTGTCCTTGTTTGCTTACTTTCCCAAAGGGTTCAGTGTTGTTTTAAAACAGCAAAGTTCAATTCTTTGTGAATAAACGCGAAAAGTTCTTCCCAYGCACCGTCTTTATATTTATATCCAGTTTCCTCTTCCGCTCCAAAACCACTAGGAACTCTTTCTTCTTCGCCTGGAGTGCAACAAGCGATGAAAAGTACTTTCTTTGCCCGAGTACATGACTTTAGTTCGGTTTGTTTATCTCGCTTTTTGTCGTTTAAGCTTTCTTCGGGCTCAGTTCCAACACTTGCTCGAGACTTGCAATGTACTCCATGGCCAACTTTAACACATCCAAGTCAGAAACAGTCTCCTGACCTTGAGATAGGAAAGATAGAACATTCCTTAACTCGAGAAAGGCCCCTTCGACTTGCTGTTCAGAGCCAGRCTCCAAGATTAACTCCTGCTCGAAAAGAGCTTTATCGCTGCTGAACTTTTCAAAGCTGTGGATACCTTGGTCTACTTGCATGTTGGAGTTGATATACTCAGAGGTTTTGCTGTTTGATGATACGTTTCAGAGGTTTTGATTCTCAGAGAGGTTTTGAATAGTGAAGTGTAGGTGTATTTGACTCGTTTATATAGTCACCAACGGCGGCCTCTTGTTGTTGTTATTTTCTTTACATCTATTGTGATGCGAATGAGTTATTGTTTGGATAATAGAGCTATGACGACATTTCCTCTTCTTAATGCATAATAAATATCACCTTATTAGCACCCAGAGGTGATTCAARTAAACACTAATTTACCATATAGGGCTTCCTTGATCTCAAAAAGCCGTTTATTTTCGTGAATTCACCTCAAAACTTTAGTTAGTAATCTAGTATTTCAACAATAGTCGGTAAGATCGTCGACATACGGTCTAATTTCAGACTATTCTGGTAAATGCTTTGTGAGCGCAGGTGCAGATGAAAGTATTTTCATATTGGCACCTTAACAATAGGTCTTTTTGATTTATAAACTAACATATCGTGGGAACCGACGGAACACCCAAATCCCTACGGCTTACTTCTGAGGGCGTTTGCTTTTCAAATTTATTTATTAGAATCTTGTAAACAACAGCCCTTAATGTTAAAATTTCTTTCTTTTTAAGGTGAAACTTTTTTGGTAAACTCGGTTAGATCATCGTTAGAAAAGTTTCACATACAACCCATAGTTTATAGTCGTAAAACCATCTTGAAAATCTCGCTGAAGATTCACTAGCTAGATGTGTTTTCAAACGACTCAACGGGAAGGAAAAGCGTTTCGGCGTGCAACAGGAACTTTCAAGCGGCTAGTCAATGCAACTTAGGGTCCAAAGGAATTCAGCGCTAATCCAAGCAATTATCATCTAATAGTTGGATATTCAGTTCGAGTGCAGCTGCTGCTAGTCGGACACTAATGAGTACACAACATTTGTATACACGGTCTCCAATGCCGTCTTTTGTTTATGCACAGAACAATGCCAACTACAAAAACAACGCCATGCTTTGCATACCTGCAATGGAATGGACGCTGTCAACAACAGCTGCTCATGCATCCAGATGAGCAATCATGCAATCACAAACATGCATCGCAATGTTTCTGCTTCAGTTATTTTTGAGTGCATGCCACGAGTGCAGAAGAGTTTTGCTAAGCAACAAGGTCTGAGGAGGCGGGCACGCAGAGGACTTTGAAAGCTTTAGGCGCAAGTCACTTATCCTTAATTTTGGTGGAATTTTGTTTACATAAAGAATTGCAAAGTTGACGTGATTCATCAAGAATTATGAGAACAAAAATTTAATGGAGTTTTCTGTTGGAATAAAAGGAAAAGTGAAGGAAAAAGTGAAGGAAAAGTTTTTGCAATGGCAAAACCAAAAGGTCACAACGTTGTTTTTAATTAGCGACTGCAATCGTCCGTATTCTTGGTTTAGTTGTTTGCAATATGATTTTCAATGTACTGTGATATTTATATAATGCCCTTTTATGTTTTGTTCGAAACATTAAAGAAGTAAAGCTAACTTTTTGCACTMAAATATAGTTAGAATTGATGCTTTTCTAGGCCGTTGTAATAATTTCTTTCTTTCCGGTTGACCGTTTGCTTTATTCAAGAGCGCTATGGGGTTTCAAAGGCTCAGACGTCTCTGTTTTTAATGGTTTTGACATAAACCAAAGTCTGACCTTTTGCTTTGAAAATTCTTTCGCCTTGTCAGTGCTATCACTCTTAGTAAATGACGTTTATGAAGCAGCCTTAGAACAATGCTTGTCTCTTGTTCGTTGGTTTCCTTAATGTATACAACACAGAAGAATAGAAAAGCACCGATTGCTTTACGGCAGTGTAAAGGAACAGGAAATGGAATGTATTTTATAAAGTTTTTAAAATAAATAATTTGATATGTTTGAGAGTGAATGTTGCGGTTTTAATCAGTTTTGTTTCTTGACATTGATTTGCAAACTTCAGAATGTTAAATTGTCTTCACAAAAACTGATTTCTTCGGCTCATGATAGATCACAAATTAAACCAAAAAATTTCATAAAAAAGTGTTTCTTTGCTCCTACAAATGCTGAATACAGTTGCCAATTCGTCACTAAGTAATTCCATTTTTTTATCATCCGATTCACAGAAGCACCGATCAAGTTGACAAGGAGTCGGATGCATTACTCAAAAAGCTTCAGATACTAAATGCTTTGCTAGAAATTATCAGTTATATTTTCATCTGTACAAAGGACGTTTTCCTTTTTTAACAGACTTCTAATATATAAATTTAAAAATAGTTTGTGGAAGCTTCTAC